ATAAGAGACAGGTTGATGGGTGTACCAACTGAGAGAGAGAGAGAGAGAGAGAGAGAGAGAGAGAGAGAGAGAGAGAGAGAGAGAGAGAGAGTACAGGCAGGGCTATTTTGGGCTATGGGGTCGAGGATCTGATTCGACCCTCTGTGGGCAGACATTGACTGGACACTGGACTGGGAAACGATTACTGGGTGTAGTGTTGTTCGACTCTGGTCTATCCCCTCACCTCCATTCCCGCCTTGCTCCTCCTCCTGCTTTCATCCATGGTATATGATCCCCCATGTGCGTGTGCAAGGAGGGACCTTTCTCCGCTATGTTTGTGGTCCCTCTTCTTCTCTAACATGTGTGATGGTTGATGGGATGAGTCGGGTCATGATCTGATATGTCAGGCAGTATCCTTGAGTCTTCCACTGCGCTACATTGTGCCATTTTTGTATGTATGTATGGCCGTATCCTTGAGTCGGGTCATGACATATCAGATCATGACCCGACTCAAGGATACGGCCTGACATATCAGATCATGGCCCGTATCCTTGGTTGTTGATGCTTCGCTGATGCTGCATTCAATTTGTCCATTCGAGTGCTTGTCATCTCCTTGCTGGTCCTTTGGCTCAAGTTGTGCTCTGTCTTGCTTCCGAGCATGCATCATATGTCTATGCTCTGTCTTTGTCTGTGTACATAGTTTACAGTCTACATTCCTCGGAAGGCATCTTGATGGACATAGCAACGCGATGACAGTGGCGATACACTATATAGTATATATGTACTATGTCTAGCTATACTATGTCTATGCTATGTCTATGCGCATAGTCTATAGCCTACATTTCTCTGACAGGCATCTAGATGGACATAGCAGCGTAACGGCAGTGGTAATATACTACGTGGTGATCCACTATGTCTGTACTATGTCTAGACTATGTCTATACTATGTCTATAAGTATGTCTGTGCTACATAGCACTGCAGCAACATTGGTGCTATACTATGTCTGCACTACGTCTAAACCATGGGTGCAGCATTCATTGCTCAGAAGGTTTGTGTATGGACCTCCCATAGCAGCACAACAGCAGTGCTTTTTGTTTATGGACCTCCCATAGCAGCACAACAGCAGTGCTATCTGATGTTTGAAGTTCTAAACTATGTTTGTACTATGCCTATAGTCATACTGGTAGTCCGTGGCATATACTTCTCTGACTATGGGAATAGCATGGTGTATAGCATTTGCTAATGTGAAATTTTGAAACAGACGTATGCGTCACATGCGCTTTGTAGTATAAGAGCTGGTGGCATGAGTGCTTTTTTTTTTTTTTCCCTTTTTTCTTTTTCTCTACCATAAGTTTTCCTCGCAACATCATTCAAAGAAAAGACAGAGAAAAACAACAAACCGACTGCCAAGGATTCATCCAGCTGTTCTTCTGAGGTGGAATTTACCTTTTTTTTTTTTTTTTTGGTGGTGGTGTGGGGGGGGGGGGCCGCCACCGCTCAATGCCATGCAGGAAATGGGCGTAGGGGTGGATTCCGTTCTTGACATCAGTGCTCCCCAGGAGGAGCTTCACGCAGGCGTGAAGGAGGTGTGCCAGTCGATTGTGATTGGATGGAGGGAGGTCGATCCCTCGAGACTCGTCGTGTCGACGATCTCCGGGGGCATAACGAACATCCTGCTGAAGGTATCCAAGGTAGAATTTAATGGGGAGGAAGTGGTAGAGGAGTCCTCGGTGATCGTACGCATCTTTGGCAAGAACACGGAGCTGTTTATTGCGAGGCCGAGAGAGCTGGAGAACACTAAAGTTCTGTCGGCACATGGCTTTGGACCGAAGTTCCTTGGGGCCTTCGGAAATGGCCTTGTCCAGAGCTTCATCCATGCGAGGACTTTAGATGTTGCCGATATGTCGAAGGGTGCGTTCGTTGTAAAGATCGCTCGATTAGTCAGAAGGTTCAACGATTTGCACGTTCCCGGTTCGCGGGAGCCGCAGCTCTGGACGGGGATCGAAAAATTGCTGATGTTGGCAAAGCAGATCTCCTTCGACGACGATCCGGTCAAGCAGCAGAGGTTTTCAACCATCTCGCTTTCGGAGATTCGTACGGAGACCGCCGACCTGAAAACCGCCTGCGAAAGTCTTCAATCCCCGGTCGTATTTTGCCATAACGATTTGCTCAGCGGGAATTTCATGTACGACGACGAGAAGGATGAACTCCACGTCATTGACTTCGAGTACGGCGACTATAATTACCGTGGGTACGAGATCGGCAACCACTTCAACGAGTACGCGGGATTCGATTGCGACTATACGCTTTACCCATCGAAAGAGGCACAATGGTTCTTCATTAAACATTACTTGTGCCCCGACTCCCCCGAGGATGCGCAGGAATCGGAAATAGAACGTCTTTACGTGGAGGCAAACGTGTTCGCCCTGGCTTCCCACATCTACTGGGGAGTGTGGGCCCTTCTTCAGGCCAGCTTCTCGTCCGTCGATTTCGATTACTTGGGATATTTCTTCATGCGATGGGATGAGTACAAGAGACGTAAAGACGAGGCATTTGCGTTGATCAAGGGAAAGGGAAAGGACAAGGACAAGAAAGGAGCGCATTCGGAGAAGCCGGGACTACTTTCCGCAGCACTACCGCATGACAATCATCAAGCGCTTCTTACGACGAGCCACACAGAAGTTCAGGTGTGAAGAGCTCGGTTGTGGTGGTCCCCACCACCCAAGGCGGGACTACTTTCTGCAGCGCTACCTTATGACGATTGCCAGGCACTTCTTATAAGGAGAGGCACAGAAGTTCAGGTGTGAAGAGTTGGGTTGTGGTGGTCCCCACCACCCAGAGGAACCATGCTCTTCGATTGATAAAAAAAAACTCAAGAGTCTTCTCGCTGAGCTAAGACCAGGTATGCTTTTGCACAGGTCGGGATGGCAGCGGATTCGATGCTTGTTGTCGATGGGCTCAAGTTGGGGTCTATGTTTAGCACAACAGAGTGATCAAGGCACTCTTCCCCCCCCCCCACCCCACCCCACAAAGCCCCCCCTTACAAAAAGGACTCTGCTCATTTGATTGGCAGTCCTTTTCCTTTTGTTGTCTCTTTTCTTTTTTTTTTGTTTTGTTATCGATTTTCATCACAACCAGGGTATAGATCTGCATTTTGCACTGCTATTTGGCGGTGTAAAGGATCAGGCAGGTTGTTTTCTAAGGGGCGGTAAGTAAGGGGGGGTGGGGGAGGGAGGGGGGGGGGGGGGGGGGGGGGGGGGGGGGGGGGGGGGGGGGAGGATGTTAACTGCAGGAAATGCTGCTGACCCTGTGGTAAATCATTGGGAACGCTCTCTCTCTGTCTAGCAGAACCATCTTGGCCCCTTCTCGTTTACGCCCGTACATGCTCCATGTTTATGTCCTGTATTTTCTTTTACACGAGTTGTCCAAAGATAAGACATGGACCTTCTAAGGCGCACATGGTGTTTTATTTTATGCCTCCAGCTGCCCCGCCAGGGGGGGTGGGGGGGGGAGGGGGAGGAGAGCAGAACAGACAGACACTGTTGAGGTCATCATCTGATTCTTTGCCAAAGAAAAAAAAGAGATCATCTGAATTCATTCATTCGGACGAACGTTATAATTAACAAAACAACACCATACTTGCAATGCGATCCGACGCGATGTGATGCGGTGCGATGCGATGCGGTGTAATGCGATGTGATGCTATGTGATGCGATGCGATGTGATGCGATGGGATGCGATGTGCATCTAAACGGTGCACTGTGCACTGTGCTGTGCAGTCGTAGCTGGGGCTTTTTTGGGGTATTGTCCTGGCGTTGCGTGAGATCATTTCTTACACGATATACATGGGTTTGCAGATCTTGTTTAAGAAATTATCTCAAGCAATGCCAGGACAAATCCCCAGTGATTTTTGGCAATCCGATGCGATGTGACCATGGATTTCGGTGCATGTACACCTCAGTGCTGTACCGTACGCACGGTCTACTGCTCGTGCACACATTGTGGGCACACACACTTGTGTTGTGCAGTATGATGCGACTTTGGGTGGCAGTTTCAGTTCGGCGACTTTGTTTTGCGAATGTTACAACTGACAGACGAGGAGCTCGCAGTTCTAGTCCCGGTTTCCTATTCCTCTTCCGGTTCCAGTTTCCAGTTCCAGTTCCAATTCCAGTTCCAGTTCCAGTTCCAGTTCCGGTCACTCATCCCAGTTCCAGTTACTGGTTCCAATTTCAATTCCTGATTCCGGTTCCAGTTCCAGTTCTGGCTCTGGTTGTGGTTGTGGTTGTGGTTGTGGTTCTAGTTTCTTTCAGTTTCGATTGCAGTTCCAGTTTCAAATTCTGGTTCCACAGTACTGGTTCCAGTTGAAAATCCTGTCCAGTTAGAAACCTGGTTCCAGTTCCAACTACTGGTTCCATTTCTGTTTATTAAAATGCTCTAGTTCTGGTTCTGACCCTGATATTGATTACGGTTCCTGTGACTGGTTCTCGTTCCAGTTCCAGGTTTACGACCCGTCGCCACTGGTCTAGGTTCAGTTTGCAGTTCCATTTTGGTTTTCCAGCTTCGGTTTCTGGTTCAATTCCAGTTCCAGATTCCGATTCAGGGTCCAGTTCCACTTCTGGTTCCTCCTGTGCTGTCAGTTCCACTCCCAGTGGTTCCAATTTCCGCTTCCGTTTTTGCGTTCTGGTTTCTGTTTCCCTGTCAGCCTCAGAGTTTCTGTCCAGTCTCCAGCAGTATGGCAGAGGTCACAGTTCGACGGAACATTGATCGAGGGAGAAGTGGGTCCTTAGCTCATGGCACTGCTTCCGTACACCGTAACTGGGTCCATACCTCGGAACTGCCTCCCGACATTGGGACGGGTTCCATACAATTGGAACTGGTTCCGTACAATTGGAACTGGTTCCATACGATCGGAACTGGTTCCGTACATCGGAACTGGTCCCAGACATCGGAACTGGTTCCATACAATCGGAAACTGGTTCCATACAATCAGAACTGGTTCCATAAGATCGGAACTGGTTCCGTACATTGGAACTGGTCCCAGACATCGGAACTGGTTCTGGACATCGGAACTGGTTCCGGACTTTGGAACTGGTTCCGGACATCGGAATTGGTCCGAGACATCATACACCCACCCCCTCAGATTCGCCGAGCAGATGGTGAATTGGTGATTATGCGTGTCTTTTTTTTTCATGTCAGGTTTCGGCCCGATCTTTCACACTTGACCGACCAGAGTCATGGCAGCGGTGTAATGCACCAGCGTAGGAGAGCTCGCAGTGGAAGGACTGGTGACAGCCATCGCACAGCTTATGGATTGACAGAGAGAACGGCATTTATGGCGACCTGGGCGATTATCATGGCTAAGGAGCTGGTGGACGATATAGCGACAATGGTTATGATTTGCCGGTTGTGGTTCTAGTTTTCTGGCATGGTAAGTTGGTCTGACGTGGCTGCTGTGATCACTGGGTTCAGTGCAGGCAGCGATTTGCTGGCACCCACTTTAATCAGTGTTGTCACACATGATGTGGATGTGGCCAACGATTGAGTTGTGAAGAATTGGGGGTATCATGATGCTGTGGGGGGTTTTGAGCCGAAGGGGTGTGATGTTTTTTGCGTGCTGGTGATATTGTGTGCGGCGATTGCGACAGACAGGAGAAGGGGGCCTGCGGCAATCGAGAGGGACAAGAGTGAATTATTTGGTCTTCTTTGGTTTTCTAATTGCTGTTTTCGTGGTTGCAGAGTGCGTGCAGCAGTCAAGAGAAGCAGCAACAGTTCATTCATTCATTCATTCATTCATTCATTCATTCTTCTTCTTCTTCTTCTTCTTCTTCTTCTTCTTCTTCTTCTTCTTCTTCTTCTTCTTCTTCTTCTTCTGTTGTTGTTGTTGTTGTTGTTGTTGTTGTTGTTGTTGTTGTCGTTGTCGTTGTTGTTGTCGTTGTTGTCGTTGTTGTTGTCATTGTTGTTGTTGTTTTGTCTTTGCTAGAACGATGAATAAGTGCCATTTGAAATCACATTTCAGTCCTTTAGATAGCTAATCGACCACATCTTTGTCCCTACGCACACTATTCCTACGGTGCAGAAGCAGGGGAGGAGACATATGCTGATGGATTGAGAGTGCAGGGGAGGAGATTAAGGACAACAATTGCTGTGAGGTCTGAAGTCCACAAGCACACATCCACTGTCATCGTTTTCTTCTTCTGACAACTGGCAGTGCAGCTTGTGTGTGGGCAATGAAGGAACAATGAATGATGGTTGCCACTCACTGGGAGACAAGTGGATGCTGCTTTGCTATGTGGAGGACGGAAGGAAGGAAGGAGAGAAGGACGGACGGAAGGAAGGAAGGAATAAAGAAGGAAGGAAGGAAGGAGTAAGGAAGGAAAGAAGGGAGGGAAGGCGGAAGAGAGGGGGGAACGAAGGAGGGGAGGAGGAAGCGGAGAAGGAAAGAAGAAAGGAAGGAAAAGGAGCGAGGAAGGAAGGAAAAGGAGGGAGGAAGGAAGGAAAAGGAGGGAGGAAGGAAGGAAAAGGAGGGAGGAAGGAAGGAAAAGGAGGGAGGAACGGAGGAAGGGAGGGGGAGGAGGGAAGGAAGGAAGGAAGGAGGGAAGGATGGAAGGAATAAGGAAGGAATAAGGAAGGAAGGAAGGAAGGAAGGAATGAGTAAGGAAGGAAAGAAGGGAGGGAGGGCGGGAGAGGGGGGGGAACGAAGGAGGGGAGGAGGAAGCGGAGAAGGAAAGAAAAAAGGAAGGAAAAGGAGGGAGGAAGGAAGACACCCGCCATCTGTCCATCCAACGATCTGGGGCTGCGTTGCAGTCCCTTGCTATAATAACCGGAACCCCATCCGGAATTTGCATCTTGAGGTTCTCAAAAAAGGTTCCCCTCTCGCTTACAGTGTTGGGGGCATAAACACACAATATGCATACAATTTAAATTTCCAGCGTAACCAGGATGGACACCCATCGACCCCCCTCCTGACGGTTATGTTCCGGGGTGTCCATCAGGAGTGTTTCCTGAACACGCACTATGTCTGGCCAGTTCCTACCTCCCACCCCTCTCATTAAGTCCCATATTGCATTTTGTTTTTCGGGTTTGCATGAGGCCAAGCCATTTACATTTAGGAACCTCAAGTCCAGGTCTGCTGCTCGTCTGCATTGGTTCCAGATACGATCCTTCCCATACACCGCCCTGACCGGGTCCATCTTGGCCGAATTGTTCATATACTCTTTGGTATTACGTAGCATATAGCACATAGTTGCTTCTTAGCGGCGAACCCACGGCAGCTGATCCCAACCCCAGTCCACCGTTCCCAACCTGAGGAGGGCACATAAACATTTTCGAACATCCTGTTCAGTTCAAGTGTCATTTGTGCTCTATTTTGGTTGTCTGCAGGTTCAGTAGTTGGGCATGAGTGTGCCACCTTAGGCCTGCCCCCTTGGTGGGCTCATAACGTATGAAAACATCTCGCTGTGCTATTTTGTTGGGACCCGTTGTGATTGAGGCTATTGCATGTGCTCCTGATGATAAACTTTTTGTAATATGGTATTCTGAAAGCATCTGCAGAATACCAGCCACTGCCTCAGATGTGCTGTTTTGTGGCTCCGCCCAAGTTGATGACCAGGCCTGGAGCGTGACCCCCCCCTGCCTGCCATTCTCACAAGTCACAGCCCAACTCAATAAGTTTTCTTTTCCATACCAGGTCCAAAGGTGTGTTCTCGTCCGGGTCCGGAGGGTCCGGGCCCGACAGCGGGGTAGTTTGCTGCAGAACTGGGGGGTCCAGAGTCCTCTGGGCCTGTTCTGTGTTTGTCATGTCCGTCAAGTCTGTTGTGTCCTGCTCAACTTCATTTGTTGGTGCTGCATGTGGTGGTTGAAACCGAGCAAAAACTATTGTAATCAGTCTGTGCCATGCTTCCGTCCACTTCACCCTCGGCTGCAGTCCATTTTCCAATACATTTTTGAGTGAGGCACTCGTGTTTAGCATGGGGAATAATTCTAAGTATGTCTTGTCCCAAAAGTCATCAGTGAGGGGGCCGTATTTAGCTTTCAAATTCCCCATCAGCCAGTTTGCAATGGCGACCAGTTTCTGTTCTACCTGTAGGTGTGGTGGCGGCACCCCCTCCTCCTCACCTACCGGGTCGCATTCGGGGACCAAGGCCTCCGGTGACAAGCTGACGCTGGCCGGGAGCGGGTCCACCTCCATCGGTTCTGAATCAAACGCAGCCTGGAAACGGTCAATATCAATCTCTCCTGCTGTCATCCTTAATTGTTCCTACTTCACAACCCCTGGCATACCCACCTCCACCTCCATACTTCCAACCTTTGGCTGATCCTTTGCCTCCACCTGTCCCAGCCGCTTATCCGCCTGTGTTGTTGTGTCCTCCACCCGTATGCTGTTTCCTCCCCCACTCTGTTGTATCTGGTCTGAGGGGAGGTCCCCGGGAGGCTCCTTGGTTCCATCTGTACCTTCCTCCTGAAGGTACAGCTTGGCAGCGGGGCCCGGGGTACCGCTGGGGTTATCATTTCCCATTTGCCACGGACCGGGTTCGGCCTGTTGTTTTTTAACCCAAATTTCTTTTCCTCCTTTCATGCCCACTATTTTCCAACCTGAGGTTCCCGGGTCACCCTGCGGGGGGCGTGCCTGTGTCTCATGCGCTTCCTGTGAGGGGCGTACCTGTTGCTCATGCGCTTTCTCCTCCACCGGGGCAGGGGGGGTCCATTTGGCAGGTGCGACCCCCAGTCTGGTTCCCCAGATCTGTCCCATTTACATCCGATTGAGGTGCCGTCCTTTTGGCAGTCCTCAATATAAACCCATCTGAGTCCTTCATGTCTTGGGTTCACTGTCCTCCAGTGGGTCACCTTAATTGGGTCCCTCAAGTGGACAGACATACTCAGTACTCAAGTGGCCGTATGCCCTACATTTGTGGCACCACGACCTTAGTTTGTGTGTCGTGTGGATCATGTACTCCTTTCCCTCAACTTTATATGGAATCACGTCGTCGAGGAAGAACGGGTGACCCTGGGGGAAGTCGAGAGCCAGCATTAAGTAATCATCCCTCTTGGGTACGTAGGAGGGGAGGGTATCTATGAACGCTACAATGTCATACATCAGTCCGAAATCGTATACGAATGCGGCCTAGATTTCAACTGGGATGTGACGAAACTCCACCCAGTAGAAATCTTGCATGAGTTGTGCCCTCCTTAACAGAAAAAAAAAAAAAAGTTTTTGCCTCAGGAAAATTAGTTTTTGAACTTTTTAAGGAGGGGAGGGGTACGTCGACGATGATACACAATAAGAGGAGTGGCGATGTTTCTAACAGAAGATGTCACTGACAATGAAGGCGGAATAGTGGGAAGAATAGAAACCGGAGAATCGGTTCTCAAACGAGACCGTGGAGGAGATGGGGGTGGCGAGGAGGAACGCAGCCGTCTGCGGCCAAGCACAGAAAGGGATGAAAGGGGGGTGGATTTGGCAAGATGTCGGAACATAGGACGCTAGTGTCGGGCTGGGGTAGAGGAAGCTATACCAGTAAAAACTGTAGCATGAGAAATTCGAGGTACAGAAGCAGAGGAAGTGGTAAAAAGTGGAACCGCAGCAGAGACAAGTGTTGTAGTAGGAACCGCATCAGAGGCAACTTCCGTAGCAGGGACCGCAGCGGAGGCAACTTCCGTAGCAGAAACTGCTGGAGTGAAACCCGGAGTTGAAAAAG